TCATTTATATGTTAGAACTTATTTGCCTTTTCACATAACATATGTGTTTCTAATCATGTGAACGTTTATTAGATATCAAGTATAATGATAACGCAATTATATAATTCATGCTTTGAGACGGTCCCTGTACGCGTTGTGTATGTAGTATTTAATACAGCGTACTTTTGTGCATTGTGATAATAAACCTGGGAATAGTTTATTGATATATAATATCCCAGAATAAACTTATTGTTTCTGAACGTTTATCATTTGATATTTTGTATTTCAATCATAGCATGGGAAAATGTCGGAAAGCATGAAGAAAATTAAGAAACGACATTTCTGGTAAAAATATTTATCTTAGGTCGGAAACACAGTAGTCGGAAAGCAGAAAGATAATCAAACAAAAGGATTTTCTGTCAAAAATATCTAATTCCATTAATAGATACTACCAGACTAAGAGAATATGCATTATTAAGTTTAACTGAGACTGAATATTATTATAATTGTCATATAAACGTGCATTATGTCTCACAGGTTTGAACAGTCATTACATTTATGAAAATTATATGCAACTCATAAGCACCAATGAGTAGGGATGTGTACCCAAAGTTAGCTAAATATCTAAATTTTAAACGGTCGTGAAAAATTGTTGCATGGCTTCAATTCACAAGGATTTTAAATCCTTCCATCTCACAAAATAACGTAATCAATATTTGACAATAATCATAACAAAATTTAATTACTATCATAATGTTAATTATTTTATACTGTGTTAGTATGGATTTATAAGTCTGCTTATATTTTGTATAGCAATATATTCATATAGTGGAATATTCAGTTAGACGTTTAAAAGAGACTTATTTGATATATAAAATGTCCCTCCGTAAATACTTGACATTTGTGTTAATTTGATATTATATTCTAAATTTTCGGAAAAAATTCATTAACAGGAGTGTATGTTTGTTATAAAATTTCAATTCTTTTATTGTTTGTTGGTTTTAATAGTTCAACCTTATAGCATCTAAATATTTGTACTATATGGTACGATTTTGAAAATTGTATTCATTGTGATGACCAGCTATCCTTCACGTCTTGATTCATTAACATTATACATCACCCTAGGACTGTTAACACGCACACTATCGGTTTGCGTTCAAAAAAATTCTGGATAAAATGTCAATGAATCCGGAGTCAAAAAACCTGAGATATGTATTTATGACATCCGAATTCAACTATAAGATTAATATATGTGATGACGCAAATGCGTATTCTTATCCAGATTATCAGTGCGTATGCTTTCTATTTACTATAGAAAAAAACCACGTGCATGCATAAATATTAATTTCACTCGTGAATGCGAATTTTCGATTTTCTTATCTTAATTCAGGACAAAGCAGTAAGAGCTTGACATGTGACTTTCAAGCACGGTAACCGTTATCATTTCTTACGGTATTCTGACATCTAGCTGTTTCTCTTTTGTTTTCTCTTTTGAGTCACTGTACATGTCCTATTTTCGAAATGCTTAGGATTTTCTACCAAAGGAATAGATTACTTAACTTCGTACTTTATTTGGCCTTTTTAACTTTTTTTATTCGAGCGTCACTGTTGATTCTTTATAGACTTAACTCGCGTCTGTCGTACAACATTTGAATCTTGGTATCTTTTGATATCTACATATCTTTTTTATATAAATTGGTTCTTTTGAGAGTATATTCAGGTATTCATAAAACATCTGAAAATAAGATATTTCTCAAAACCAAGTTTTCCTGTAGAATGTTTGGATTGATTTAAGTAAAATAATGAAATCCTTATAATTTGAGACGTTTTATGAGACCAAAAATAAATTTCTGTATAATAGGTTCCAATGAAGCTAGTGTGTCACTCTCAAGAAAAATATACTAAATAACCCTTCTTATAAGTTGCATGCCATAGGGTTTCACTTCACATGAAAATTGGACTCTAAATTTATTTATACAACATCTACCATGAGTACAGACAGCTTCAATAACGAGTTGAGAATAATTGAAGGCATCCATGCTGGAAACAACATATGAAGATATGATAGATAAAATAAATGCATACAGATTATAAAGCAATTAAACTTAGTGCTTAAATCTATATTGCGATTGGTTTGTGCAATTTGCATTAGACATCCGGTTTGTAGAAACTGGGATTTGCAAAAGGGTTATGAAAAAAATGATGTACATTCCCAAGTAACAAATGAAATAGTCGAGCTTTAAAATGTATATTCAAATAGTAGCTGTATGTTTACACTTTTCTATTCACAACTATCCAACATTGCTTTCAACTGACTTGAACAAGAATCTACACACAATTACATATTTTTAATAAAAGTGTTTTAACATTATCATTATCTTATTCCATTCACAGTCAACTATTTCAATTCAAAAGCAAACAAAAATTCAGCAGCAATTTTTTGGTGACCAGTCAGCGGACTTGGGTTCACGTATTGCTTTTCTTTTTTAAAGAAAACAACTTGTTTTGTAAATGTCGACGACGACGGACGACGGGCGCCAAGTGAAGATAAAAGCTCACTTGGCCCTTTTAGCCAGGTGAGCCAAAAAATCATTTGCAATTGACTTAACTCAGACGATCGTTATAAGGCACACAATAACTAACATAAAAACTATAGAAACAAAGCACCGATGTAAGAGTACTCGAAGTAACTGAAAGCTAGTTAAAAGTCAATGACAACTAATAAATAAATCATGTTCTCACAGACTAAAGTAACAATCAGTATACTGACAACGGATTTAGTGTACAGACGTCATAAACAGTTTGAAAAACTCATGACCTTTTGTTTTTATTTGTTTAATGTTGTTGTGGTTTGTATTTGGTCTATATTTTCGTTTTGTTTTATTTGTTTTTCTCTTGTTGAGTTGGGGCGTTTATGTCGTCAATTTTGGTATGACTTTCTTAACAGGGATTCAAATGCCAAAATGCCCGTTTTTTGTATTCACGATATATTCAACACCATGCAGACACATTTGCAAAAGTTCAATTTAAAAAAATTAATAAAATATACAGTTGCGAACGACATCTTCTGAATTACAGGCTTATTTTCTGTATTTTCTAATTATTTTAAAAATATTTCACAGTTATAACATATCCAACGCGGAGTCAGTATAGACAGATGTCACATATATCATGAACTGTCATTGAGAAAACATATTTTATTATAATACAGAAATAAATCATTAAACTGTAACGTATAAGGATTACTTACTTTCGCTTTTAAATCCATTAGAGTTTTCATCATTTTTTTCCTCAGATCCTTTAGACCGTATTGAAAACCTCATTTGTCTGACAGCTTCTAGTCCTTCAACTATAGAACTAAATTCTAATCTAATATTTATCTTTGTCTCTCTGTTTTTATTTACTTATTACTAGTATTTGATATACTTTAATTGAAGTAAGCCGTCAGTTGTCTCTGGTTAAACATGGCTTTTCATAGGCTACGTTGCAAGTTATGAAGACCTATTTTTGATGGCTGTTCCAAGCTTCTTACTTGTAGTCTAATAGTTAGAAAACGGTGCATTATATTTGCGCGCATTACACTTACATTTGCGCACAGCTTTTTATTAGATTTGCGCTCATTCCTTGAACAGGTAAACACAAGTAAATTATACATATCTATTTATTTTTCTATTTACAAATACCCCTACCGTAAGTTAAGGTCCTCTGCCCACCAACGAGAAAGTAGGAGGGGTTCAAAAAGGATAAGTCCCGATTATTATGCACAAGTAAAATAAAAACATAGCAAATCTGAAGAGTTAAAGTACCGATTTCAAATGATCACTTAATATATATTTTTAAAATTCAATATGGGAAATATTTAATTTAAAATTATCAATATGTTAAAAATAAATAACTATCGACATTTTTATTATGAATTAACTTTTTATTTACATGTGTAAACTGTAACATGAATGCGCGCAAATGTAACAAAAAGATGCGCACAAACATAAAAAAAAGTTTATTCCGAAATGCGCGCAAATGTAATGCACCAAGTGAAAATATACTGAAAATGTCTGACTAGCCCTCAAAGTTCAAAAAAAGTAAGCAGTTCCTATTCAACATGTGACACCTGTCATAATATATCATAATCAAACCTAATATGAAAGTCACGAACGAGAGAATAGTTGCACACCCCCTATAGTTGTTGACAGTTATGTCATCGTTATGTGGAACATAATATACTCAACACAATTATTACGTTTAATAAACATTTTAATGTATTGGTGATAATTAATATGTAAAACATGGTGACATTGATGACAGATTTATGCGTATAATATACCAGGTTGATTAGTAATGTTTAAATAAATCAGGCATTAAAATCCTCTTGTATATGTTCATAGCTCAATACACTTTTCGAATGTTTTATTAAAAATGATTTTCAAATAACTGTTCTTGAAATCAAATCCCCGCGTGGCTAAGCAGGTTTCTATTTAGAATTGAATTGTTTGAATAATTTTCAGCTTGATGCTTAGTTAGGTTCATTAGGGCGACAGTAATTTACCGATATATAAATGTTGTAAATCCATTAGGAGGAGAACCAAGGTAATCAAGAGAAATTAAGGGACAGTAAAAAGGATTACTTTAATCTAAAAGAAAATAACAGATTAATCTCTTGTATTTTATTTTCAAAAGCATTATTGAATCACTTCGTATTTCAAAAATTAATGTACATTTGTATAATTCTGTAAAACATTATTAAATCACTTAATTTTTAAAAATATATTTTTACATTTGCATAATGCTGTTACACATTACTAGTAATTAAGTAATTATTAATCTTTATTAAATTCTAATTCGTAAACTCAAACGAACATAAAATATTTATCAAATAACCACAAACTCTTACATGGGAGACGCCACTTGCAGAGACAAGCGAACATTTTATTATAAATATTAGTATAATATTGTGGAAAGTTCATATAAATACACAGGTATTAAGCAGCTTGTACATGTACTGGTATCCCCATACTAGTGGTCTACAAATCTGAAAATAAATAATATGATTAATAATATTATTTATTAGGCAAAATGCTACTGTACACTTTGACTGCAATGGCTCGAATGACTTTAAACCACCTGAGTTCACTCGTGCATGAACTCAATATCCCAATCGAACCGACCTTACTATAATTAACCAAACACTAGTCAACTATAAACAAACACCATTTTTACATGTTCGATTCTTGTACAACTTTGATAAATACATTTAAATTATAATTCGTAAACTCAAACGAACATTAAATATTTATCAAATAACCACAAACTCTTCCATGGGAGACGCCACTTGCAGAGACAAGTGCGCTCGAAACACAAAGAACGGAAAAATAGCATTGAATATTTATTTGAATTCCTAAATTTTGATAAACAGATAACTGTGCTTTAAAGTCTTCTCTAACGTAACCATCCTTTCCTCTGTCCCATTTTAACCTGTTATGATTCAGAAAAATCCTATCAGAAATACAGGCGTTAGCACTGGCTCTTGTATATGAGAGACGTCTGGAATCATTTCGAAACCTATGAACATTGGACTTCTCAGTGAATGTTATTTTAACTAAAAATTTTAATCAAGGTGTATGTCAGCATCTTTAATATAGCTATTTAAAGAAGTTTATTTTGTTAAATAATTTACCAATAAGCATGTCTGAAGTTCAGTCTAATAGCTTCAATAACAATCAGTATTGTCTAAATATTCGCCCTAGTGACTTTAATAATAATATGTTAAGTTACTTCAATAATAAACAGTCCAGTGGCTTCATCAACAACCACCTGCCCGTTTTCTGTAATAACAAACCTGTCCAGTGTTTTCAACAGCAACCAGCACAGTGTCTTCAATAACAACCTACCCAGTGTCTTCAACAACAACCAGCCAAGTGCCATTAATAACAACATGTCAAGTGTTTTCAACGACAACCAGACCAGTGTCTTAAATAACAAACCTACCCAGTGTGGCTTATACAAAAACAGGCCCAGTGTTTTCAACAACAACCAGCCCAGAATTTTCAACAACTAGCTCAGTGTCTTCAATAACAACAAATCCAGTGTCTTCAATGACAACCTGCCCAATGTCATCAACAACAACCAGCACAGTGTCTTCAATAACAACATGCCTAGAGGCTTCAACAACAACCTACCGAGTGTCTTCAACAACAACCTGCCCCTAGTCTCTAACAATAACATGCCAAGTGTCTTTAACAACAACCTGCCCAGTGTCTTTAATAACTACCAGCCAAGTGTCTGCAATAACAACCTGCTCAGTGGCTTCATTAACAAACAGCCAAGTCACTGCAGTGTCCTCAACACCCAGCTCAGTGTCTTCAACAACAACCAGCCCAGAGTTTCAATAACTACAAGCCCAGTATCTTCAAAAAACAACATGCCCGGCTGCGCCAATAACAACATGCCCAGTGGCGTCAATAACAACATGCCCAGTGGCGTCAATAACTAACTATCATCCCAGTGGCTTAATTAATTACGACATGCCAAGTGGCTTCAATAACAACCAGTCAAGTGTTTTTCACAACATACTTTTCACTGGTGCCAATAACAACCTGCTCAGTGTCTTCACTAACATGTGACTTCAATACCAACCTGCCCAGTGACATTAATAACATGCCCAGTGGCTTAAATAACTATCAGCCTATAACTTTAATTACGCATGTCCAGTGGCTTCAATAACATCCTGCCCATTGGCATTAATAAAAAAAAACTCTGCCCAGTTGCGTCAATAATAACATGCCCAGTGGTTTAATTAACTATCAGCCCAGTGGCTTTAATAACAACGTTAACTGGCCCAGTGTCTTCAATAACACACCCAGTGGCTTCAACAACCTGCCTGTCCATTGGCGTCAATAACAACCAGCCAAGTGTCTTCAACAATAAACTGCCCAATGCTTTACAAGCAATCTGCCCAATGGCTTCATTAACAACACGCCCAGTGGCGTCTATAACAACCTGCCTCGTGGCGTCAATAACAACATGCCCAGTAACTTAACAAACAACCTGCCCAGTGGCTTAACAAACAACCTGCCCAGTGGCGTCTGCAACAACCTGCCAAGTGGCGTCAATATACAACACGCCCAGTGGTGTCAATAACAATCTGCCCAGTAGCGTCAATAATAACCTGCCCAGTGGCTTTACAAACAACCTGCCCAGTGGCTTCAATAACAACACGCACAGTGGCGTCTATAACAACCTGCCCATAACGTCTATAACAATCTGCCCAGTGGTGTCAATAACAACCTGTCCAGTGGCTTTACAAATAAACACGCCCAATGGCGTCAATAACAACACGCCCAGTGGCGTCTGTAACAACCTGCCTAGTGGCATCAATAACAACATGCCCAGTGCCCTACAAACAACATGCCCAGTGGCTTCAATAACAACACGCTCAGTGGCTTCAATAACAACACGCCCAATGGCGTCTATAACAACCTGCCCAGTGGCGTCTATAACAACCTGCCCAGTGGCGTCAATAACAACCTGCCCAGTGGCTTTACAAACAAACACGCCCAGTGGCGTCAAAAACAACAACACGCCCAGTGGCGTCTGTAACAACATGCCCATGGCTTAAATTACGACATGCTTATTGGCTTCAACAGCATCCTGCCATTTGCATTAATAATAATCTGCCCAGTGGTGTCAATAACAACATGTCAAGTGACGTCAATAACAACATGTTCAGTGCCTTAATTAACTATCAGCCCAGTGGCTTAAATTACAACTTGCCCAGTGTCTTCAATAACAACACGCCCAGTGGCTTCAACAACCTGCTCAGTTGCGTCAACAACAACCAGCCAAGTGGCTTCAACAACAACGTGCCCATTAGCTTCAATAACAACATGCCCAGCGGTTTAAATAACTATCAGCCAAGTGGCTTTAATTACGACATGCCCAGTGGTTTCATTAACAACTAGTCCAGCGGCTTCAATAACAACCATCCAGTGACTTCAAAAACAACCTGTCCAGTGGATTTAATGATAAACAGCCCAGAGGCTTAATATAACTATCAGTCCAGTGCCTTCAATAACAACCAGTCCAGTGGCTTCAATAACAATCTTTCCAGTGACTTCAATTACAACCATTCCAGTGACTTAAATAACAACCTTTCCAGTGATTTCAATAACAACCTGTCCAGTGGATTTAATGCCCATAGGCTTAATATAATATCAGTATAGTGCCGTCAATACAGCATGTCCAGTGCCTTCAATAACAACCAGTCCAGTGGCTTCAATAACAACCTGTCTAGTGTATTTAATGATAACAGCACAGAGGCTTAAATAACTATCAGTCCAGTGACTTCAATTACAACATGCCCATTGGCATCAATGACAACCAGTCTAATGGCTTCAATAACAATCAGTCCAGTGACTTCAATAACAATAGTCAAATGGCTTTAATAACAATCAGTACATATGCTTCAATAATAACCAGTCAACGGCTTCAATAAAATCAGCATAGTGGCTTCAATGACAACCAGTCACTTAGTATCAATACAACCAGTCAGGAGCACGTGGTTTCAAAATTTTTACCAACACATGCAGTAAATTTAACAATCAATCAGCCCAGTGATTAAGACAAATAGATACTCAATAAGTAATAAACCCTAAAGAAATCTACAAGTATCATTCCCAGTGGTAAATTAAGCAACAATAATCAAAATGAAACTCTTGGTAACTGTATTATAGTTTAGCTACAGCTCGTGATAACTATACATTATATAACCTGCGCATGTCAGAACTCTGAACAAGGATAAACAAAACCAAAAACAAAAATTTTTATAGTCAAATTCCTTTCTCTGAATTAGCTTCTGAAACAAATTCAGCATTATTAAATATTTCTTGTTAAATATAACAGTATAACTGGCGGAACTGTGATAAACTGGATATAAGAATCATAATCAATCATGTCTAAAACAAATGAATGTGTATCATTATCTTTCCAATACTTATATATGTTCTTCTCATTTCCCTAAACAGATCATGAAGAGGGATTCTTTTTCATAATCAATTGACATGTACTGAATTACAATCTAAATGTTCATTTTTATAATAAATTTTAAAATTCAATATGATGAAAAACAATACATGATGTAAACAAAAACAAAACCTTGATCTTTTAAACGCTCTTGTTCCTTGCGCTACTTTGTCCGTCAAGATCCGTGTTTCAGCAGACCTAATTTTCTTCTCATCCTCGGAATCCTAAGCAAACTCGTTTCATAGGTATTCTTTGACTGTATCCCATTCTGCTGGTGACTTGTCAGCGATCTTAATACATTTGTTCCGCTTAAGAATTTTCTCAATAAGGTCATAACTAATATCCACGACTTTAGAATATTCATCACGCTCGGCTGCACGTTTGATCCTGGATACTATATAATCAATTTCAGAATTAAATTCGTGCTGAACATGCTTACTGTAACTTAAACTTATAAGAAAGTCTTGATTTAAGCTGTTTATAAACAAGGTTTCTGATTTATTCGTCGCATCTTCCAGAAGTTCCATCTTTAGGCTATCAATTTTACTATTTAAATACTGTTTAAAATTGTTCAAGGTTATGTCTGCAATTTTGGTTACCATATCTTCATTGTTATGTCAGTATCATAATATCATAAAGGTGATTTTCTTCACGTTCAGAACTTGCCATATTACGAAAAGTGCAAGTTGAAGATAAACTAATAAAATGCTACTGTACACTTTGACTGCAATGGCTCGAATGACTTCAAACAACCTGAGTTCACTCGTGCATGAACTCAATATCCCAATCGAACCGACCTTACTATAATTAACCAAACACTAGTCAACTATAAACAATCAACATTTTTACATGTTCGATTTTTGTACAACTTTGATAAATACATAAATGTATATGTAATTTAGATTAATTCCTGTTCAATTTATTAAATCCTAAGGTCTACGAATTCGTTTTAATAAATAGAATAAATATCCAATTGTATCACTATTCTTCGTCTATAAAACGTTTGAAATTGCGTGTAACGGTTTTACAGTGGTACGTCCAGAAGCGTATTAGGCCATACGTACTTTTTGTTGAAGGGGCATTAGCTACGAGATATAGAAAAAAATAAAATATGATTTTTCCTTGTTCAATCATTAATGAAAGTGAATTAGTGATATAATAATTCGCTTTTAGCAGCAAGTTTGGTTCAGTTCTGTCAAAATCTGCAAAGAAGTATCGCTAATGAATTATTCACTTGCAAGTGAATAATTCGACCTCATTAAATCCGTATTCATGTAAACTTCAATTGAACCCCTTAGCTAGAGATGGGTTACGCATGAACTAGGCGTGTTCATCTATCAAAAAGAATAGAATGTAAACATTGGAAGTGAAGCAAGGGAAAACCATTTGGTTGACAGATTCAATCTACAAAAACTATTTCTTATACAGGTAAAAAATATTATTAACATATGTTTTAAAACTATAATATGAAATCAAGCAGACCTAGAAATAATTAAAATCCAATTGCACGAGTTCACTATCTATTTATATTCATGTTTATGTATATATCGGGTTATATGACCATCGGCAATCTTCAGAGGTCACCTCGATGGTTAATTAGATGGCGTCTAGACTAAAATGCACACGAACTGCTGATACATATTATCGAGATCATGCATCGTAAATTGTTTATTTTAGACTTTTTATAATTTGGGTATACCTTTTAGTATGTTATAAATCAAATATGAGAATTTGAGTCAAACCGGTGAACATGAATTTGACAGCTAATGCCCTTTTAATGTTTCTTCTTATGTCTGGGTTACAACGCAAAGGTTTGCATTACTTCGCATTACTTTGTGTGGTGCTAATACGCTTCCGTTTTAACGCTTATTTGGGTTTTATGGGTACTTTTTTACCCAAACTCCAGTTTGAATGATATTTATACTCGGTTATTATTTGACACCAACAAAAAGATAAATTTGGCAACAATATTTTAGATTCGATTAAAAAGAAAAAATAACGAATTATTTTTGGAGTAGTAAGGAATTTTATATAAAGTTCATTTATACTGAAGGATAAAAAACATTTGTTTTATATTGAAAGATAAAGAGCCCATAAGATTTTTATTAATTTGCAGTCAAAGGTCAACATTTCCATGTTTACTGTTAAATCGTATTAAATTAGAATATCCTTAAGGCCACACCAATTTATTGTCTTGTTCTACGGATTTTTCCACTCCAGAAATTTGGGTGGGCGAGCGATTTGAACATTTTAATAAAAAAAAATTAATTTGCAAATTTTTGAGGCGAAGCTTGAAAAGTAAAGACGAGCGATTATATTTTCTATAAACATAAAATCATAGGTTCTGACAATATTGATCAAAACAAGATGGTATGAAACTTGATTTTAACACTTTTTTCCTGTTCAAGACATGTAATGCTTACTTTTAATTGCAGCATGTTTATGACTTCTTGTATTACTGTTACTTTCGGAGGCCATCAGATCTTGAACTGAATAATTTAATAATTATTTCAACTGCCTTAAAAGATCTTCATTGAATTGTCATAGATGTCTTTCCTCCTTCACCGGACATGACTTATAACTAACAACACTGCGGGTGTCTTGCAAGAAGCAGGAACTGCTCATCCTTCCGGAACACCTGAGTTCACCCCAAGTTTTTAGGGGTTCGTGCTGTTTAGTCTTTGTGTTATATGTTGGTTGTCTGTGTCTCCGTCGTTTTGGTACTCTCATTTTTGCTCTTTGTCTTTTTGGCACTTTGTACATAAATAAGATTTGGTATGAGTGCCAATGAGACAACTCTCCATCCAAGTCACAATGTATTTAAATTAAGTTAACAATTATAGGTCAAAGTACGGGCATCAATACGGAGCCTCGGCTCACATCGAACAGCAAGCTATAAAGGGCCCCAAAATGACAAGTGTAAAACAATTCAAACAGGAAAACCAACGGTCTAGTCTATATACAAAACGAGAATCACATATGAACCATACCTGAACCAGAATCCGGGTCCTATCGTCCAAAAACACGTTCGCTCCCATTCACGTTCGCCCCCTACACGTTCGCACCCTACACGTTTGCACCCTTTTTATTTGTTTTGTGTTAAATAATTTTTCAATCGTTTTTTGGTTAGTGTATTGCTATATATATTGTTTTTGTTCATTGTTTCAAAATGAACTGGCTTTCTAAAAACTTTTTTTTTGTGTTGAATAATTTTTTAATAGTGTGTTAATTATTATTGCTATAAATAAGTTTTTTTTTTCATTGTTTCAAAATAAAGTGACTTTTTTGTGTTGAATATTTTTTTAATCGTGTTTTGGTTAATGTATTGCTATAATTTTTTTTCATTGTATCAAAATAAAGTGACTTTCTAAACAGATTATTTGTGTTGAATGTTTGTTTAATGTTAAGACACTAAAACCGCTATTAAACTCAACAATAATAACAATTTGAATCTTCAATGTTTTTACTCATACCAAGCTAATTACATGCTAACTACATGCAGAATTTACATCAAATCTAGTTAAAACAACAACAACGATTTTCAAACACATAAAAAACACCAAATTTAGCTGTGAAAACACCATATTAGCAGTAATCATACATAATTAACAAATAATAATGACTCATCAAATTAATTTAAAACAATATTTAATTTAAAAATATCGATTTTTTTATTTATGAAAATAACAAATATTTTGATATAAACTTCTAAAAAAACATCTAATAATTCATCAGGTTTTTGAATAAAATAAAGGTGCGAACGTGTATGGTGCTATCGGACCCAGAGGGCGAACGTGTATTAGGCGCGAACGGACCCGATACCTATGAACCACACCAATAAACGACAGGCTCCTTACTTAGGACATGTGCATAGAAATGCAGCGGGTATGGATAGTTTTGCTTAAAGGTGTCTGTATTAGCACATACACCTTTATTCAAACAACGAAAATCGGCATGATTCTATGAAGAATCGTCCTTGACTATGATGTAAAATCTGTGTTAATGCTCGAAACGGTTTAAAGGGTCGCGATTTGACATTGGCTAAAACGCTCTTGCGATTGCTTTTTATTTTTTAAATGTTTCCAAAAAATCGGCGCGGGAAATAGACACGATCATTTTCCGGATGCGGGAAGCGAGAATATCTAAAATGTTTTTTTTTGTTTCGTTTAAAATTCCTTGATTCCGGAAAGTCAATCCGAAAATTTTAAAGATAAAAATTAATAATGCCTTACTTACAGTGATAGAGTTGAAAATAGATTGATCCACTGATATTCAAGTTCGACCAATACATGTCAAACATTATCTTAATTCTGATGGTTAACGCACAATTTCTCTTGAGTGAAATATCCGAACATTTACTAAATTCAAAGATAGCTTACTTTTATTATTCCCAACCATCATATTAAGTTTCAGATAAAATTATCCGAGCACACTCTTGTTAGCACGTGTAATGTGAAAAATGTCTCTGAAACGACAAACCAGAAAATTTTGAAAACCATTATCAAAGATAGCTTACTTTTAGCAATGCGAATACAAACAGTGTAAAGTTTCAAGTAAATCAATCAAAGCACACAGGAGTTAATGCGCAATATATTTCATATTGTTTTATATCCCACGGTTAAAGTTCCATAGCTTGAAAGACAAACTGGAAAAGGAGCTATTTTCCAAAGCTTCGAATAGTCCATACAAGTTTACTTTCATGAAAATTGATCACTACATTCTCTTGTTGTACGACGTATGGACAGCGGACAAAGATACATCGGTATACCATAATTTGTCCGGTCAATGAGAGGCGTATCAAAAGGAAAATATAATGAGAGTATTCAGGACAGAGAATTTAAACTACTAGTACCATTTCCAATACAAACAACAGGGACATTAAAAAAATTATACAAAACAGCACAGAAAACACTAATGTAAGAAAAAATTAACGATCAGTTTTTTTTTTTATATCTAAAATGGACATTTGAGTTTTGAACATCAGTAAACTACTGTTACTTCATATTGATCCTTAAAATTCAGCCGATTTCATATTCTTCCATTCTTTCTTCTATTGGTGATAGTGTTGCTTTTGGTTTTATTCGTGTTTTAATTTTTTTTTCTAATTTTTACATTGAGAATTGAAGTAAGGAAGTTGAATTCATTAATTGAATCTTGCTGCGACCACTGCAAAAGCCCATAAAACGTTAGTTTATCATGTGTAATGATGAATAACAAATAGAACACACTTTTGATTTTCAAGAATTTTCTCTTTAAAAAGTGGTACTATGGGGATTAAATGAAATAATACCAAAAACAGAAGACAAGAAATACCATAAACAATTGGTGTGCCTCTCTACATTTGTGTCTTCGTAAACTGATGCAGTAAAAATATCTACAACTATTTTGTTTGAATAGTACATAGTAATCAAGTTTTGAAGACATTTGATGCTTTAAAAGTGTGTATTATTGTCATTTTTAAAATCTTTGTCGTCTTTATTTGATTTATTTCTACATTGACAACTGTGAGATGTGAAAGTTGGAAATACAGGTAGATATTTCAGCCATGATATTTTCTTCAAGTGTTTAGTTAAAACTGGTATCTCATAAATTTCTACGCCTTCTTCATAATGCGACTCTGAATCAGGTGACTTACTTTCATCTAAAGACCATGCATCCATTCCGCGTTCTTTCATAGTGCCTAAAATTAAAATATGTATGCAAAGATCAGTAAGCAATTCCTAGTACCCTGTCGACACACTCAGTCTCGCTGCCTTTGAAGCACCCTGTCGGCGTATCCGGTCTCGTTCATTCGGAGTTTACATACGATCAACACAGTTTTTGAATATTTCCTTGATTGGTATTTTTTTATTGGAATAATGAATTTTGAACATCGGTAAACTACTGTTCTCTCATGGTTAATATATATTCGCATATGTTACTTTTTTGTCAACCAAATCGATCACCAATAAATTTAGGTGTTTGACTGCAGTTTAACTCCTCTACTTTCTTGTCTGATTAAAGGCAAGATCTTAAGAGTGTTTTATTTTTAATTCATCATTTGGGTTAAGACTGAAAGTCGGGTCCAATGTGAAATGTTTGCATCAATGAGTTACAAATATACCTTGTATTGAAATATAATTATGAAAACATATGATTTTTATGCTTCTATAAGACATTTGAGATATCATTTTCCGACTACAAAACATTTGATATTATTACATTCATTTGTATTATAATATTTATTACATACATTTGTATCATGTGTGTTATAATATTATATATTTAGTATAATAGTTAAGTAAGCGTCAACTCATTATTATCTTGATAATAACATTTTATGATCTAATCCCAAATTATTCAAGCCTTTCAAAAGTATGTTTATTTTATTGATAAAGGTAAATGTTATCCCAATTCTGACACTAAAGTACAGAAATGGCTTTGTTATGGATTTGATGTCATAAACAAGTTAGAGTTAACTTGTGCGTTTGGACAAAATAAATATAAGCCAAGGTCTTACCAAAAAAAAATTTCCTCACATGAGCCCAACCCCGGTTTTAGGTGGGGTTTTCGTAATTCAGTCTTAAGTTTCTTAAAAAATAAGGAGATGTAGTATGATTGCCAATGAGACAACTAAGTGGCCTTAAGCAATTAGAGGCAACAGTACGGCCTTCAAAAATGAGAATAACCCATACCGTATAGTCGGCTTTAAAAGTCCTCGAATTGAAAAATATGAAACACTTCAAATGAGAAAACTGACGGCCTTATTTATAACAAAACAATTTTCGAAAAAATGATTGACAGACATGAACCACTTATATTTTGTTTTATGTCTTTTTTCGTTTTTTTTTTTGCCATGAAGTTGTCAGTTTATCTTTGACTTGTGAGTATGAATATCCCTTTGTTATATTCCGCCTCTCTCATATAAATTAACATCTTTGTAACATACATCTTGTAGCAAAAAATTTAAGTGAGTAAGCCTTGGCTCATTTCTAAATATAGATAACAAGTTCTCAAAATGAGTCTATTTTGGGCAGTTGTTTCAGTTTTAAACACTAAATTCAATAAGTTTTAACACCTGATACATATATGTAAGACACAATTTAAAAATCAAATACTGCCGTCTGCCAGTGAAATGACTTATGAAAATCTTACCAATGTTACTTTGTAGATTAGTCAATTTTTTTTTAAATTCCAGGGACAAAAAATTACTTTATCATACCTGCTCCTTAATACGGTTTTCATAAACCAATAAATAATACTTATTCTAATACCTTTAACGGTGTTGTCTAAAACAAAACCTATAAAGCCACCAGTGAATGAAGGGTTGGTAAGCAGCATTATCAAAAACTCGTCAAACCCTTCACTTCCTGTAATAAACAAATACAGAGAAATGTATCGCACCAAAACCAGTGTCAACCGGAAGCCTTTTCGTAATTAACTCTTCTTGTACGATGAATATAGGTGTAAACATTCAAACCTGTGTTTTTTTCAGTATTTTTTCAAATAAACGAAACCTCCCTCAGAAGAACGGTTTCCTAGCCGGCAAGTGAATTGGAAAACAATACTCTCATAATTTCTCATTTTTCCGCCAATATCTGATTATAGATATTAGTTTAAACTATGAAAATATAATAAATTATTGTTTGTCTATAAATCAAGATTATCCAAACTACCTGACATGTTGTTTTAGCTAAATAAGTCATTAATGATAAATAATAAATTTTGATAAGTATCATATTAACTAATAATTCTAAAACAAACAAAAACATAAAATATTCTGAAAAAAACTCAATGAAATATGTTCTATGATAAATTTTAGATAATATTATCGGTGTCAAACCAAATTTAGAAAAAGGTATGGGTTGTTATCGAGTTGGTCAAATATGACTATATTTCAAACCAACCAGCACTATTTCTGTATTACTACAACCGTTTTTTTTTCTGGACAAATTTGTGCGTATGTGCTTTTCTTTTTTCTTTTTTGCTGTTCTGCCTTCTCTACATAAAAGAGTGTTTCCTTACTTTTGTCGATCTTTGACGCGAAACATTAAGTTACTTCCAATTTATTGTGTGCTATTAAAGCTTGAGTATTTTGGCTTTGGATATTACATCATAACCTTGACATAAGTTTCTTTATAACCCAGAATGGTTCTATTTCTAAAAAAAATGTGTATTTTAGGTTTTTTCGGCCTTTTTGCCATTTTGGAAAAAACAAAGTATTTTCATTACTAATTATTTATTGTATTTCCAAATCAATTTGTGCTAAACAAAGACGTATTTTTCGCTTTGGATAGAAAATCATAACCTTTAATCGAAACATGACTATTTTTAGAAATCATAAAGATAAAGGATCGTAAACGACCCTTATCTGACACTGCAATTTTACCTGTTTTAATAACTTCAAAATTTACTTTAACCCAGTTAGGAACCATTATTCCTACTAAGATAGACACGCCCACTACAGCTAGATTTCTTGGAGAATTCATATCTGTGTACTGCATATAGGACATAACAATTCCTAGAAATAAGCCAATACTTAAAATTGCTGATCCACCTAGCACAGGATAGGGTATAGTAACAAAAATAGCTCCAAATTTCCCAATTATAGCACACAAAATTAGCTGTATAGCAAAAACCTGAGTAACTCTTCTGCTTGCGACCTGAAAAGTAGAAAGTAACGAAAATCATTTACACAATCAACGATATCATGTTTTACAGTTTAAAACAAAGGGTTACATACAAAAACAAACTTTTGTCTACCCTATTTTTGCTCGTATATATTAAATTTTATCTATTAACGTTTTGCTCCAAGGCATACAACATTAAAAAGTACAGCTGATAGATTAGAATTTAACCTTGACATTAACAAATTTGGGGGTTGTATTTGATCTAAAATTGGGATAAACATTACAGTACAAAGAAAACTTGAAATCAATCTAAATATGTCATTCATTTTTAAACACATCGTACACATTGATTTGCTTTCTTATGAGGTATTGTCCACTTATTTGACTTCATTCAGTGAATACTAATACTGTCATATAACATTAACATATGCTACAGAACTGAGTAGTAAATAAACGTTATGGAGCTTGTAAACCAAAATTACACTAACAATAACAATTTTATAGCCATACCCTGTGTAAATTTCTAGCTCAGATGTATTTGTTTAATAAACTGATAGAATCACAACAATTTGAAATTTACTTTCAAAGCAGCTGATGCATACCCTTTTTGGAGCACTTCACATCACTCTCAGGTTTTTATTTGATTTTTGTCAAACGTTTTATTGTTAAATGTAAAAGTTGATATGGGTTAATCGATAATGAGGCCACAATCCAAAAAAAAAAACAAAAAACAAATGACTACTGAAGGTCAATACGGTATTTATTTTAAAAAACGTGTTTGTACCATATTTAAGCTATAAGTCACGCGTTTACAACCCAAATTGTAGTTAAACAGAGACTACCAAAAACCTGCCACCTCTGACCGGAACATAAAATAGTGATAAATGTGCGTATGTATGTACCTTAGTTATCCCAATTAATCCAATGTTATTGCTGTAGGTAGTTGTTGCATGTCCTGCTCCAAAGAATCCTGCAATCATCGACATACATCCTTCTACCATGATACCTCTATTTATCGCAGGTAGTGGAGGTGAAGGAACGTGGCATAATCTTGCACATACGTTGTAATCCGCAATAGATTCAACAACCGATAATAATGTAGCAACGATGAAAGCCATGAAAACACCGGAATTGAATTCAATTCTTCCAAACTGTCCTACAATTTAAAAAAAAATAATGGCTACTTTTCAAAAATAACGGATTTCTTCTTGGTATGTAAAATTGGCATACTATGTTGTATTGTTTTGTTTTGTACATTCATATGTTAAATTCACTACTTATATATTTATAGAGGACCTCTTATTTTAATAATTATTTGTTTTAGGGGGTTGGCAGAGTTTGGGTTAAATACCTTTATTTGCTTGTTTTATCTATTTTTTGGGGGAGGGGGGGGGACTTTTTGTTGTTTTGTTATTTAGTCATTGTTTTGTTTTTTATTTTACTTTAAGGACTATATATACATTTAGAAATAAAGTAATAATTTTGCATGAGAAAGTCAGTCATGGAAAACTTGAAAAAACATGTAAATGAAATTTTTGTAGAAAATATCGCAAACATTGTGTAAGCACTTACCCGGATAAGGTATAATAAACCATGGTGTTCTATATATCGTGTCGGCTCCGGAATCGGTTCGAGTCTTATATTGTTTTGACCGAATGTCAGTTGTCAAAGCGCCTGCATGTGTAAGTATTCCACAAATACCCCATCCAATGAACATCGCAAAAAGAACCTAAGATAAGATATATATTAATCTATATATTTTTATATTAAAAACAACTTTTTATGGCGAAACAAAATATGTGATGAAACACAACTAATATTATCTTATTAGAATATAAGCGTTTATCGTTTGAATTTAAATGCATCATGGAAAAAAGCTAATCGTTATAACAAGATGTCAATTTAGAATTTTACTCGTATTTTCTGTATCTAGAGTTCAATAACTATAGTACAATACTGATTCCATAGACATCATATTAAGAAAAAGTACAATAATTTCATTAGTTGAAGAAGGAGTTTTTTTCGTTATTGTTTGTCTGAATGTGGTTATTTCAGCAGTTTTTGCTTTTGTGAGTTTTCCAAAATAGCGGAAAGCCTTTTTTTGTCCAAATTTTTATAACAAAGGCTTAATGACTTTTAATACATATTGTTCATTCATGTGCAGATTTGGGAAATAATTTTGTATTGTACTATCAAAACTTACAGCTAGAACTTGTTGAAGAGGATATCTGATAAAATGAAAACCTCTACCTATTGTTATCACAGGTATCGGCATGTTCCATCCGTTCATGTAAACAGCAAGAATAAGAGAAATCAGACATGTCCTGATGAAGAAAGTATTTAAGTTAACATGTTTTATCAAGTCATAATAAATCTTATCACCTTCTTACCAAACAATGTAAGTGAAGATGGTCTTTAAATTAATACTTTGAAATCACATTAATTTGAACTATTTGTATTCACTTTTGAAAATGTAGTAGCGTATATATATTTTTTTGAATCTCAAAGTTAGCTATGTGATATCTACAGGGTGCACTTTGTATATAGAACTGATTAAGAAACTACGCCTCTTTTGGGGAGATACTTAATATTCATATATATATATTGTTTTGTTTACCTGGTTGTATGATCTTTTATCTCATAGAGACACATCTTGGGAATTTAACTAGTATACAGACAGTTGGATAGCGGTCAAATTGAATTCTCAAGGAGACTCTTGGTAAATGAAGAACAGTTCGGAATTTTAGTTCAAGTTTAAACTATTAGACGTTTCAGACATATATAAAAATATGCCGCACAACCCTATGTTTTGACATTTGCAAAAATTGTAGTGCATGTGAATTTTCCATTCTAGGAAATTAATTTTTTACGAAACTTCATAGTAAAAGTGTATAATTTTAGCCATAAAAGGAGTACCTATGGAAAATTGTATTGCCTATATTTACAGAAGTGCAACCTATAGGCATAGTGTTATCCTTTTTTTTCAAATAATCTAATCAATCTTTTCGACATATTTTTTTAAGTTTGTCATAATTTGGTTTTTACGTAATCATTTAGACATTTCAAATTATGTCAAAACATAATAGACACAATCACAGATTCCATAATCAACAAAAATTCTACTATTTCTGAATAATTGTATCCAAAAAAATGTACATTTAAAACACACATTTTTAGCAGATATAATTAAGTCTTGTTTGTACAACTTTAGAAGTTTTTAGGAAGAAAACAAATGTCTTACAAATCCTTAGGAAGAATAAAAAATTCAACTTACCTGTTCTAATCCCTCCCCTAAAATAGGATATCAAATTGTATAACAAAACCTTCTGAAGACTAGATATTATACATACCCTGCTGATATTCCCCAATTAGGATCACAAAATGTGTTCATAACTCCATCAACTTGTATTCCTAATAAAAGTAACGTTGGGACAACTGTTAGTGGTCCAACTACTTTTAATATCACACCAACAAAACCGGTCAATCCAATTAGCATGTGAACTGCTCCAGCAATGATTAAACAACCTTGCATCTGCAATACAAAACGAGGTTAAAAGTAAGAAAGTCAGATAAAGCAGAATTACGTATATGTTGTTAAAACCAAATATGTATTATTAAACTTATTGATGAATATACCATTTTGATTTGAATATATAAATTATTTTGTTGTTTACTTATTTCAAAGCATTAATTGGTTATAAATGAGAGGCGACAATAGTTTACCGATGTTCTAAACTCGTAAATCTATTTGGAATATACCAAACAAGCGAAAAAGCCCGAGGGAAGTGCAGGAACTGCATACGGAGCTAGATCCAGTGCATCGATAAGATTCGAACATAATAATTTAATAGATGATATCGGATATGTTCCTCATGTCGTAACTACAATATCCTTCCCTTTTCACGAATGTGACCTACCGAATAAGACTATTTACCTGATTTGTAATAACATAAGCAACACGACGGGTGCCACATATGGAACAGGATCTGCTTACCCTTTCGGAGCACCTGAGATCAACCCCCCCCCCCCCTCCCCTTTTGGTGGGGTTCGTGTTGCTTAGTCTTAATTTTTCTATGTTGTATCATCTGTACTATTATTTGTCTGTTTATCTTTTTATTTTTGGCCATGTCGTTGTCAGTTTCTTTTCGATCTGTGAGTTTGACTGTCCCTCTGGTATCTTTTGTCCCTCTTTTAATAGTTTACCAATGTTCAAATCTCGTAAATCGATTTGGAAGAGACAAATAACCTCATCATAGATACCAGGATTAATATTTTATACGCCAGACGCGAGTTTTGTTTAAAAATAAGGACTGATTATTGGCGCTCGATTAAAAAAAGTGAATAAAATGAAGTTAACCAACAAAACTGAGAGAATCGTATCAACTCTGAATTGAACAAGACCGGTGTGTCGACATGGTAAGCGTATCACCCGCCATGTGAATTCCCACTCATCAAAGATACAAGGCTTATAATGTTGTACGCATGACTCGATTTTGTCTACAAAAGACTCACCAATGACGCTCTGTTGGAGCAGTTTTTGTGTAAGGAGCACACCCCTGTCGATAAATTCCATATAATGTAAACACACATCAGCGTAGTGTATTTACTGAGATATGTAAACGCCATACGATGGAGCAGATGGTATGATACTACCAAGAAATTGAAAGTTAACAATTTGAAAATTCCATTTTTAAGTGTTTTCGTCCCTAATTTCACTAATAAAGCTTCCTAATATCAACAACCGTTTAAATAAATTTAAAAACAACCAATATTATCCTTGAACTTAATCTGTGTCAACGAAGTTCATGGGATTTATTATAGGTGATCGACAGAAATGTTGTAAAAAGTTTTGCTAAAGTTCCAAGTCAGGAAAAAATAGGAATCAATTCATCAAATTATTCATTAATTGCAGGCAAAATTTCAAATATGTGTCCAAGCTTTTTGTGAAGTTTCAGGGATAATGCTTTCAGTTATTTAAAACTTCACTCAGTACTTGGAGAACAGAGTTTGTGATCGAAAAACCAAATGACGTATTTTGGTTGGTTGATTGTTGAGTCTGTGTACAATAATCGTACTCCAACGTTTTATGACTGTAAGACCAAAATTAAAAAATCTTAGAAGTTGATTACAAAAAAGAGATACGCATTTTACCTGGCAGATCACCTGCCTGTCCAACTGACAAAACGAATTCCATTTTGGCACTTAAACTTACGGCTCGAAGTCTTGGCATAATAATATTTTCACGGTAGCCAGCCACATCCAGTTCATTCGTTGTAAAGTTTAACCCTGATTAAAAGATAAACGTTTATATACTATACTTCAATAATTTTCAGCAACAAGAATGCACATGCAAATTAAGTTAATCTTAATTACATAAAAAAAAACCTTTGTGATGTATTTAACGACATAAGTAAAGCGCATTTATTCGTTTGAATACATCAGTCCTATACAATGCAATCTATTCAAATTTATCTATATATTTATCTCCCAGTTACGATCAGGTTTGAAATAATTGGTAATTTTGGAAAATAGAATAAGAGAGGAACAAGGTTTTTTTTTATATATATAGTTCATACTTATTTGGTAAAATCTATCAATGCCTACCTTACCATAAAATGTGAGGTACGTAACATGAGCAATGGGACAGAGAAGCAAAATGGAGGTGTTCCCACTTATATGAGTAGAAAGCTTGTACATAACACTTGCTACCTCGCTTTATTCATTTTTCATTTCCCAATCAATCCAATTATTTATCTATATATCAGTCAAAACGTTTTTAGTTTGGTGATTAAAGATTTATCTCGTCCAACTCGAAAGTTGCTTCTGAAACCGCATCACTGACATAATGTACATGAGAATGATTTTAGGGCTAGCCTTTTATAGTTATCAAACGTCCGGTCAGATTGGGGACGTTAAATCCGATGTATCGTGTAAAAAGAGTGCCACGTTCTTTGCTTCTTAAGAATCCTTGCAACAACTCTATGAGGGGTCCGTAGGTGGCCTTTTGCGAGAAAATTTTCTGTCCCTAAGCAATATACCCTCATTTTCCAGTAACATTCCAAATATCCCCGACCTATGTCCCGGACGGCCTCTATAACAGGACCTACCTATTGCATTAAATGGTAATTTGTTTTCGTCCTGAACATGCATGAAATACTTGCCATTGGTCGTTAAGTAGCCAAAAATCAATCAATCAATCATGGTTATCACATCTAAATATAACAGAGGAATAATCTTGTCAATAAAATATAAATCACTTCATAAAAATTAATGAACTTTTATCAGGAACATAAAAGTATTTGAAAATGTATGTTACTGATTGTTCTTAAACATCAAAAGCAATATGATAATCAGTCTAACCCGACTAACAATTTAGCAAAAGATAAAATTTTTATTGCAGCTGGCAAAATCTATCATAAAAAGGTATCCGTACCTGAAGTTGCATTGACAATTACTTTATAATCCACTGCTGGGCACTTCCACTCCGGCAAGTCTGACAAAACTAACAATGGAAGAATATATGCAACAGTAGGTCCTTGGTAAACTGGAAGTCTTAAAAGATATATGTGTATTTCTTAATGTACATACTTTGTATTGCTTTTGAACACTGACATATAATAGAAATAAAAGTTACTTTGAACCTTCAGTTATTTGAGCTAGAAGCTGTACAAAAGCCCAGCTGATAAATATAAATTGAAGGTTGTTACAGATATTAACCCATCTAAGAATTCCGGAATATTTCGCAGAAACGTGTTCCCTTTTTTTTTTTTAAATACATAATAATATCTATTAATTTAATTTCTTTTCTGTCTTAATTTTTGTTGCTATAACTCATGTTATTACCTTTTTAAAAATATCATTATTTTATGTATATACAGATTGTAGAGCTGTTTTGTATGACCCTATTTTTCCAAACACGACTATCATGTACATACCAGAATGTTCTGCTGCGTCATTCTGTGCATCGAGACTCCGATCGTATTTTTTTTATTGCATACCGAGAAACACACTTGAAATTAGCCGACTTTACTTTATAGCTCTTTCTCATTGTTGAAGGCCGTACGATTGCCTTTAATAGCTTACATCCACATCATTTGAACTTTGGTAGATAGTTGTTTAATTTGCAATCATACCACATCTCTATTTCTATAGGATCATTAATCATATCACTCAAATTTTTGTCTTCCAGAACTAAGGAATTTCAATTTTATATTTGTGGTTTGATGAATAAAATGATCAATAAATATTATCTTAAATACCATGGTTTGTTTTTTTTCATATTTTGAAGGAAATTATAGCCAACCATCTAAGATGCATTAGATTAGTAACTAATTAAAATCCAGCTAGACATCAATTCTATTGAAATTTTTTGTAATGAATAATATCAATATATTAATTATAATTATATCTACGCGATTACCTCATTTTATTGTACTGAGATCAAATGAAAATGGTGCTTGATAACCCAAATGACGACCTTCCAAGTTTTGAATGAATCAAATTAAGCTTATTTACTCGAACAAGCAAATGTTTTTCTTGTTCTTTATGATATTTATTTTTATATAAGTTGATATCTTGCTATTTCGGAAAGGGAATGTATTTTGCTCATTTGATACTTAGTTTACATTGTTAGCGCGCATCTAAAAATATCCTGCATCGTATTGGTTAAAATACTTTTCCAAATTATGAAGTTCTGAAATCAACAATAGGTCACTCACCTGACGCCAAAAGTTGCTTGGAAAAAGGTCGTTATGGCAGACAGAAAAACGGTTGTTGAGAGCATCCTTGTTTTGAGCTCGTTGTCATCGTCCCCACATACAACTTGGGCAACCATTATTGCTGACATAACACAGAATGGCAGACCCATCAACGTTTGCTTATAACACAACATCAGTAAATTAAAATAACATTTTCATTTCATTGAAATTAGCATAATAAAAAGAAAACTATGGAAGCCAGGAGCCCGTAAGTTGGTGTCGGTTGCTGTCTGTTATAACTTTTTATTTTGTTTATTGTTTTATCATACATGGCATATGTTTTTCTCATTATTGAAGGCTCAACGGTTGCCTATAATTGCTAACACTCACTTCCTTTTAACTTATATGGATAGTTGTCTCATTAGCAATCATACCACCATATATCTCCTTACTTTTATATTGCATATAGTTTTCTTTTAAATTGTTAACATTTTGTCATCCTAGTGATATGTGGAGCTTACTATATATACTGCATGCTCATCATGTATACCCGTATGGTGACCTCAGGTTGATACATTCCATGTCCTTTGGTTTTCTTGATGGATATTTGTCTCATTGGCATTGATACACCATCAATGAAAGTAGTTTTAATATTCAATAACGTTTTATTCAATCAATTTATAATTTGATTGTTAAGATTGTAATGGTTTTGTGTCCACCATTAGGGTATAACATTTGACATGAAAACAGGTTTGAACTACAAATGTTTGCTTTTATTTTGTTCTTATCTTATTGTAACCCAACAACAAATTATGCCATTGTTTCATGACAAAATGACAAGTGTTGGCTTACAGGGATTGTAATTCTTTAAAATAAACTCAAATGTGGAAAACCATTAAACGATTGAAATTAAAATACAAATAACACTTTGAAAAGTATGTGGTGCAGAAGCGGTTTTCTGGATTTACCTTCATCAGAAACGATCCAACCTAAAATATAAAACACAATATGATAAATATGAACCGAGAGGTTCAAAATGGACCTGTTTAATTCTCAAACATACCTGGAAAGCAAACAATAATGTCATCAAAAATGATGGCGTATCACTAATTCTGTACAAAAGTTTCCAATGCTCTTTATCTGTTTGAACTTCGGTGTTAGCAGCTTCCTGATCTTTTGATATATGTTGTATTTTGACTGATTCCTCGGGACTTTTCTTTTGTAAAGGATCATTCTTCTTTTTCAGGCGAATGTGGATACCCTTCAATAAGGAGATTAAATCTAATTTTATAGGATTTCCCTAATCGATATCTTTATTTTTACTTGGATTTTTTTTTCACCTATTCATTTCTCCTCCGCTATTGGCCATTTTGTTCATAAGTTGGCTTTATAGAATTTTCATTCAAACCAAGGTCAAGCATTTTCCTTGGTGAATTATGATTGTGATCGTATCTATTTCGTATATTGAATAACTTATTGTGATGATCTTAAATCTGAAATAACTTTTTGTAATTGTAATATGCTCTTATTCTAAGATCATGTCTGAATATATATTTGATAACTTGGTTGTAACATGCATGTTCTAAATTAAGTTTAAACAGAACATCAGATGACAGTTTTTGGATGTAAACAATATATATTTCTATCAGTTCATTGTAATTAGAAAAGCAGTTATCTTCTTTAAAGTATTTTGATAAAATATGATGTCCCCCATAACCCCCCCCATTAGACAATTGTCCACCAAAGACAATTGATTGTCAGTTGCTTAACGTCCAGTGGCAAATATGTAATGCCATATGAAATATGAAATGCATGTTCATGACGCGATCAAATAAATAATAGATACAATACGTAGGTATGTACTGTAATAGAGGCTGTTCAGGATGAAGGTCGAGGAAATTTGGACTGCCACAGGAAATTGAGGGTAATTCAAATAGGGACAGAAATTTTCCCTTGCAACAGTCCCCCAACGGGTCCCTCAAAGGGTTGTTGCAAGTGTTCTTAACGTACAGAGAGCGAGGCACTCTCACTACAAGAAGTTTCGGATTAACGTCCCCGTTCTGAACGGAAGTGACTGCGTACCTGTACATCTCGCATAGTCAAACGGACCCCACTTTTTAAAGGATTTTACTGTCGGAAGAAGACCATGAGTGACCATATTTCTATTTCTTTTTCCCAGTCACCATTGAGGGTAAATGACGTATAAGTTAGCACGTATAGGTCGCCGTACTGCCCTCAACAATGAGCAAAACTCATTCCGCCAGCTAACAAATGTTAATTTCGTTCAGTTGTCCTCTATTGTATAGTTACACTTAAAAAAGAGTAGTCAAAGTTTACTCACCAAAGGCATCTTGAATGTTTCAGGTGATTCTTTAGGGTTTAGTAGGGCACTTTTACATGTCGCAGTCGTGTCAGGCCAAAACTCATATATCAGATATTCATATCAATGGCTCAAGGATTAAAAATCAAGGACAATATGAAAATGCCATGCAATGTTATAAATACCGCATATCTTTGTTACAATAAAAGTTATTGACAAAGGCCTTTTATTTTTATTTGTTATGATAGTTTCTTTATCTCATTATTCGCATAACAACATGGTCAACAGTCAAAGGACAATGACATTGTTTTTGGGGATAACACAAGTGTTACAAACATTGATTCATCATAATTATGGGTTGTTTTTAATAACATAGTAAAGGCTCCAATAAGGACATTCAACTTAACTCGCAACCCAGAAGTAAAAACCAGTTACCAACCCTTGAATGTGAGGTCGGATAATCAGTTACTAGTATCCTTCCAAGTTCGATAGCTGATAATCAACGTTCAACGAGAAACAAAACGTTGTTTGGTTCTGTTCCTGTTAGATGGCTCTCTTATTGATATTTATATATACATAAAATATTACATATAATTGTAACGAATAATAGAATAACAAGGTCGGTTTCCGTTTTGAATATTTTTTCAGGAGCAAAAGGGGAGGTATGATAAGAGATATTATGTGGCACCTGCAATTGCAAAAATATCAAAATCGTTCAAAACTTTCAAAATTATGTTAATTTAATCAGCATAATCTTGACACTTTAGTACAGAAAGGTCACTTGTGATGTCATTGTGACACCATAAATATGTTGACATTGATAGATTTAGTTTGAATTGTTTATAACCGAACCTGATATATGAGATGAAACTATACAACTACTAGTATACTATATGTGAATATTAAAAGTAATAGGTGCAACTTTACTTGTCTGTCTTATTTGTTTTTCGTTTATCGTTTTATCATAAAAATTGTTTTTTTTTCGTTTGAATTGTTTCAAGTTTTGTCATGTTGGGGCCTTTTATAGCTGACTATACGGTATTAGTTTTGCCCTATTATATTGTTGAGGATCGTACAATCACCTATAGTTACTTGAATAAGCGCCATTTGGAATCTGGCAGACAGTTTTGTCATTGTCAATCATACCACACCTTATTTTATCTTAAACAAGTTTTATACGAATTTACTTTTTGTCATGCGACAATATCAGATGATCGTTTTAAAGGGGCATCAGGTACGAATTAGACAAAGAATTAAGATATGATTATTAGTATTGTAAACATTTATAAAAGCGGAATACAGACATAACATATCGCTAATGTATTATTGGCTTGCAAATCAGTAATTCAAATCTTTTGACCTTTATTGGAGATGGGTTGCGCACGTTTTCTGACAGCATGTGTTCAGCATGTTGATTTATAAAAAAGAAAATAATATCAACATTGTATAAATGAAACAAGGGAGACACCAGATAAACAATTATTTGACTGATCAAGACCCAAAAAAATCATTCTTATACAGGTAAAACGATGATTTATATATAATATTTTAACCTATAAATCAAACAAAACTAGAACATCATTATACGTTTGCACGTGCTTGTGTGTCCATTTCTATATCTGTGTATGCTTATATCGGGTTTTATGTTCGTCGGCAGTCTTCGTGGGTCTTCTCGATAGATAATTAGATGGCTTCTAGTCGAAAATACGCACGAAATTCTGATACATTATAGCGAGTCCATGCATGGTTTATTGTTTCTTCTGGCCTTTTTGTAATTTGGACAAACGTTTTAGTATGTTAAATACTTTACATATAAGTATCTTAAATCGGCACAAACGAGAATTTGGGTCAAATCGGTAAACATGGATATGACATCTAATGCCCGTTTAATTTATCTATTCACAATATATTGCTTTTGAAAATACTCCATTTGAGTGATAGTAAAGGTTTTGACTGCACACGATAACTAGGTACAGGTTTCCTGAAATGCGGCATATTTGCCTCGGAAAACATGAACATGTATGCAAGCGGCTCAGTAAAATCCGCGATATTAACAGTATAATTTAAAAATAACGGATTTTTTATTTATTCCTAACATTTACAGGAAAGGGAATGTATATTTGTAAATTATTGGCTATTACCAGTCAGTTTGGTTCAATTTTGTCAAAGTTACCAAAGATTAATTCCCCCACATAAGCACGTCTGTCCAAGATCAGGAACCTCGTCAAGTTGTCTTATGTATATGTCATATCTTAATGTTGTACGCTTTTGGGATAAGTAGACCTTTGATTGTGACTTTTTTATGTATTCACAACGTTTATAGACTCCGGACGATTAAGAGCTCGACATTCTGTATAGACACCAGTCTTTTGCTGACCAGTCTATTGCGTTATTGTCCTCTAGATATATTTTTGATGTTTGTGTCGTATACAAGCTGTCTCGTTGACATATACCACACATTTCATACAATAAATACTTATTTTATGTGACTTAACAGTGTATAAGTTTATTTACACCAAGATGCCGTTAAATGAAATTGGATATCCTTCATTTATCCTGCTTTTCACTAACATATGGTCAAATCGCTATAAATGACCCTCTTCCTTAATTATTGAAAACGATCATTCTGCATTGACAATAATATCTTGGTGTAAATTGAATACACCAAATCGGACCAACGCACTCATAGGTGTGTCCAATTCAAAATAAACATGTTGGGTCTCTTAAATATTCATCCGAGGAACTTCAGAAATTCAATATTCATAGAAATGATAATTTGAAATAACTAGTGTATTGCAATCTTTAGTAATAAGAGACTCTCCAGATGAAGCAATACTTTCTTACAAATATTTTTTGTCATACAATTTTTGGCTTTTCGCTACATCTATAAATACCCTTAACTGTATATATACTTTTAACGTCCTTAATTCATCCGCATAATGTAACACTTAAGTGTTATATAAGCATCGTTATCCTTGATCTTATTTGTAGATTTATTATACCTTTTATATCATCATGTCCATGATTCATTTATATTTTCCCGACCTTCGGATGATTGGTACATCTTAATTCCGTGTAATAAATATCCATTAATTCCTTTTAGTTGCTTCAAGCGATAAATGTTATTCCTTGACATTACATTGTATTTTATTACCTTTCATAAATTTGATTTTAGTGTTTTAAGCTCACTTATCTTATTAAAAATTAACGGAAATATATATTAAAATAGATTTAATTTGTTTGATTGACTGTTGGTTGCTGAACGTCCAGTGGCAAATATTTCATGCATGTTCAGGACGAGATTTCATTTGACCATTTTGAAGTAACTCAAAAGTGGCTATCGGTAACCCTAATCAGTATTTGGACGACTGCTACGGATAAGAAGCCGCATTGTTAAATTTTACTTGAGTATTCGAGAGAAGAAATTCATTGATTGTACCCGGACGCAATCATATAGCAACACTATTAGTTCGACATAACTATGAGGAGATCAAGCGCCAAGGTCGCCACTACACAAATGGTTTAATTAGATCCTCAGGTTTTGGATCGTTGTAGCGTAATTATTGACTTTGTCTATTATTGACGTGTCGCACTCAAAGGAAAAAACCGAGTGTCATGTTATGTCTGATGCCAGAGGACCGTCTTGAATTGTCATGTCCATTTAGTATTGTTGGAGTAAATACCTTTGGACCATGGAAACCCGTTCCACGTAGAACCCTAGGAGGATACTCAAATCGTTGGGCTATTCTCCTCACCTGCTCATAGTGACAAGACCACTAGCAGTTCAAATCTAACTCTTCGAGGCTATGAGCTCTTTAGCGCTCATAAACGCCGTCAGAAGATTCATGGCTATTAACGACTAATTGAATGTTTTTGATTCTACAGTGAGAGAGGAATGTTTGGCGTTGCTAGGAGATTATTTGACTCCATGCTCGTCAACGCCACTGGAAGGAACCTTTAACAAGACGTGCTCGACACGTTCTTGGCAGGAGTTTCAGCAATAATGCACTCTGGACAACATTTTTCAGCTGTTACTTATTTAATTACCTGGACGTTCACTGTTGTTTATAACTTCGTTGACTTTTTTTGTCTACCTCATTATTTCACATCGGAATTTCAACATATATCAACATTTACTCTGCACATTTTTAAATTGTATTATGGTTTTTATCAATTTATTGGTTGAATCTATTAAATATTCATCCTAGGTGACTTCAGTAACAATGGACAGATTACAGATCAACTAAATTCAATTTACATAGAAACAATGATTAATAACTGGTGTATTGCTATCTCCAGTTATACGATACTTTTCAGATGTAGTAATGCTATCTTACAAATATAGTTGTCTTTCAATTGTTGGCTTTTTATTTCATACCCCTTTTCTTCCAAAAATATATTTTTTCTCCATTGGATCGCCGAGCAAACATCTATAAAGACTTTTTCTGTATATATCTATATATTCATTCATCTTCAACCCATCTTAAAAGGGAATTAGCTTAATACAAAATAAACATGTTGGGTCTCTCAAATATTCATCCGAGGCACCTCAAACTATGCAGCCGAACACACTTCAGGCATTCCAACGGGTGTGAATAAGAAAATCATTTGCAAATTTAAATATGAGTTTGGAGGTAAAAGTAGGTCTTCGAGCAAAACTGTACGAGTGTCAGATGGATGACGGTAAAACTATTAAGCCAAGGAAGACAAACGTTAAATCTTACCAGATGGAATCAGTACTTTGGCACATGGACATTATAAAATTAAAGAGAAATCTAACTTATAAATAAGAATGATTTTTTTAGTATCCATTGATGGACCTATTGGAATTGGTAAAAGTACATTGTTAGATTCGTTAGCAAAAGACACAAAACACGTTTTTTTTTTGCCAGAACCTGATAAACAGTATATGCTTTTAGAAGAATTTTACCATGAAATGGCTCATAAGAAAACAGGCATTTTAGATTATGCATTTGCATTACAGTATCAAATTTTACTCGCACAAAAGGAATTGATTCAACCAGTGTGGA